ATATTTAATATCCTCAGTTAAAAGTTCACCAGAATCTCAATCATCAAATATACCAATTAAACCACATAATTATAAAAAAGATTGTCTACTTTCTGTTGACAATGCAAGCCTTGAACCATTTTCACCAAGAACACAATCCATGATTGATGAACTAGAACAACATGTTGATGAGCTTGCTAACTCTAATGATCAAATCTCCATAATTGATTCACCGCGTGAAGTCTTGACTAAATCAGATGTCATATTAGAATCTAATTCAATACCGTTAAATATTAATATTCAAAAAGATGATATCTGGCAATATTTTAACTCAGTAAACCAGAGTTTCTCCCTGAATGATCCATGTAAACTCTATATGCTATCATTATTATACAATGTCTATTATTATGCATTCATATATTAATACATCTAACTCTAATATTCAACAGCAGAAAAAATAGGCTTAAGCCTTGATACAGCTTCAATTAGTATTAAGAATGTTATTATAGATCAAGGTATTAATGAATTTTTTAAAAAAATTAAAAATTTTCATTATATCTAATTTTATGAATTATAACAGAAATTGTAGATTTGCCGTGTATGTTTTACTAAAAATAATTGTCGCGGCTGAAAATATTTTAATATGAAATTTTCGAAATTTTTTGGGGTGCTTTTTTTTACAGTTAGGCTAGTATTTAGGGTTAGTTTTGATAATGAAAATGTATAGGTGGATTTTGGTAGGTTTTTTATTTTTAAAATTGAGGACCCTAATTTCCAGCTGCAGCCATTTCCAGCTTCAGCCGCGACAATAATTAACCAGTTAAATCATTATCAATAACAAAAAACTAATAAATTTTTATATAAAGTATCCAGTGGCATTTTTCCGGGTGAATATGATTTAACATTTAAAATTATTCGATTTATAAACTGTTATCACCTTACAAAAAATACTAATATCCCATTTTAATAGACAATATACTTGTTCGTATCAAATTATTGAACTTTGATTCGTCACGAAAATTAGATTTCAATACCAAAAAATCAATTCGTCTTATGATCGGACTAACAACTTACCATACTAAACCAAGTACATCTCTTGAAGATCAATTGAAAAAGTCGTTTCTTTTTCCTTTTAATTATCATTCATTGATTTTTGACACAATGAAATTGGTTATTTATGAATACGGCTCTTTCTTGAATAAAAAAAGAAAATATGGACGTGTTATTGTTCGATTGAATGCTTTAAAACAGACTATAATTAATCATGGGGAATTTGAAAAGTGATTGTCGTTATTTCTAAAAATTTCATTTGATTTGTTCCTATTTAACTAATTACATTATTATATGATATCAGAATTTTCCCTATAGAAGCTAATTTACACGAAATTGGTGCTGTACAAGTCAACATAAAATTACATTTTCCTAATGACCCACCTTTTTCACCCCAAACATTATCTTCCTCAATTCAATCACCTTTGATTCAAAACACTCGTGATTATTTCGATGACAGCATTGAGACACAATCTGATGCAATATCTCTTGGTATACTTGGTACGGTATTAAACAAAGAGACAAGAGATGCAATTAGGGAAATTACCGCTCTTTATCATGCATTTTTTGGTCATGGGTGGAGGTTGACCAAATTAGAATTCATAAAAGCATATATGCTATTAGAGAAATATTATAGTCAAAGGGAAAAGTAATATTTATTATATATTTATTTATGTTGTATGTTAAAGAATGTTATTCTCTTAGCATTATTCATTTAATTTTTTTTTTTGTACGCATATTTCGATGATAGCCCGACTACAGGAAACTTGAGTTATGATATAAATATGATGGAAGATGCTTTGCGATATCTACAATTTTCTATGGCATCATATGTATGTTCTTTATAATTTTGTTTTATAAATCATATATGATTTCTCATTCTTATTAACATGTTTGATCTAATATTATAGGGATCTTTCTTGTTTAATTGGTTTGGATATGGTCCTCGAATACATATAAAAATAGAATTTGTTTTTGGGTCTCTAATCACCATATAATTAGGTACAGAAACTGTTTTCTGACCATATTCCCAACATATAACATCACTTTTCTCAAGGTTGAAAAAATTTCGGATAATCTTTTTATCAGAAGTTATCCCAAAAGCATCTATATAAAATTGTATTAAATATCATAATAAAGATAATACATTTATATATAATGAGATT